AGCTTTACTTTCTGCTATAGCAGAAATATAGAATACTTAAGCTTCATTTACAATGTGATCTTTGCTTCCTATTTCTCTTTATTTCTTTGTGAATTAGGCTTAAGCCCTATGCACAATCCAGGCATCAGTCAATAAGCATTAGCCAATAAGAACAGAGAATAGAAATAATTGACCAATCCGAACTCCTATTCCCTGTTCTTATTGCCTGTTACCTGGCAATGTGCATAGAGCGTTAAGCCCGTATCATACTAGGGTGCGTTCAGATTCCCTACCCGGATGCACTCTATTACTAGAAACACTATAGTATATGTTACATATACTATAGCACTTCTAGTATTAGAGTCCACCCAGGTAGGGAATCTGAACGTACCCCTATAGATTAGGATTGAGATGGAATTGAAATTTAGCCAATCAGAGCAAAAGCTCTTCACTAAGCTCAAGTTTGGTGAACTTTGCTCTGATTGGCTAAATTTCAATTCAATCTCAATCCTAATCTATAGTCTACACATTGCCAATTTCTATTCTACGATATTGCAATTTGATCGTTTATGGCTGCGTTCCGATATTCGCTGCCAGTACTGAAAATCTATAGTGTACGCGACATGAACTGTACTGTTTCAGTATTGGTAGTGAATATCGGAACGCAGCCTATATATCGTACGTACCACATACCACGTGTTTCCAAATATTCTTAACCACATTAAACTTCAGTAATTATCAGAACAACAAGCTTGTACATCGATTTGCCTGAAACTTCAGAATATTATGTATTTTATGTATTTTATTGCGCAAAATGCGAATATGAAAGTTAAAATCGTCACTCTTAAGTAAAACAAAAGTTATAAAGTGTTAGTTAAAAGTTAAAAACTGTTGGTTGTGAGGTTAGGAAATTTGTTATACCGGTGGTTAGAGAGACATTTGAATGTGTAAAAATGCGAATAATTACATTATAGCGTTTAGAAAAAACAAACAGACCTATGATTTAAAAATATTTAGAAATATGAACACTAATTTTATAATAAAACAATTATATCTTTTAATAACTAATATTAATAGTATTAATATTATTATATCTTTTAATAACTAATATTAACTAGTATTAATGTCACAATGCTTTAAAACATGGTTAAGTTAGATTTTTAGCAAGATGGGGGCAAAAATATACTATTTAATCTTTTTTATTACAAAACTAGGATTCATATTTTTAAATACTCTAAACCATATGTCAAATTTTGCGCACTTTACATCACGGTGCAAGCTTATATGCTCATTCTCTGTGTACATAATACATTTTCCAAACTCCAAACTGTCATTTCTTAGCACTTTATAACTTTTGTTTTACTTAAAAGCGATTTTTTAGCATCAAAATAAATAGTTGTTCATCAAATATTTCAGAATCATGAAGGAATCAATACAAAGTAATGATGACAGGTGGAAACCTGTCACTTTAGAAGGTGCTGTTCTCTCAAGTGGCGTTGAGGGACTTATAGGAATAGAAGAATTAACGGATTATAATTTAGAAAGGAATAGTAAGAGAGGCGATGTAACAATAACTAATGTAAAATCTGTGGAGAAGAAGAAAGTACAAACTTGTTTAACACTTGATATCACACATCAGTAAAATAAATTAATATTTACATTTTTAAGTTTTGAATATTATATTTGCAGAAAACATTGAAGGATCACTGTTCAAACAAATGGGACATCACCGATATTAATATTGTTGAACTTTCTGTGAAAAAATCAAAAGATAAGAATGATAAAACAAAGTCTACAAAAAAGAATGGAAGAACAGAAAAATTAACAAAGTCTAAAACTACTGATGAACAAACCGATTGTGATACTGAACATAATTCATATTTTAGTATAGAGGATGATGTAAAATCAACAGATATTAATGTTGAAGCGTGGAGTTCTATGGGAGTTCCTGATATCATCATAAAAGCTTTGGCTGATCAAAATTTCCATTCCCCTACTATCATACAAGCTAGAACATTGCCAGCTGCTATATTGGGCCAGAGAGATATACTAGGTGCAGCTGAAACAGGTAGTGGTAAGACACTGGCTTTTGGTATTCCAATAATAAGAGGTATCCTAGAATTAAAGAGTCAACAGACAGAAACAGCAGTGCTTGGAAAATCTATAAACAATAATAGCAAAAATAAAGGATGGAATTGTTACGACAAAGGAACTGAAGGTAATAAAATATTACTTTAATAACAAAAATTGGTTTTTTTCACATATCATGGAATTAATGCATTCTGTTTGAATATGTTACAGATAATAATGTCACAAACTCTGATTCAGAAGATGAGGACTTATCAGAATCTGAGAATTGTGTTCGTATTGTCAAACTGAATAATTGTAAGAATGCTCTAACCAAACCTTTGTACGCATTAATCCTAGCACCAACTCGTGAATTGGTGGTTCAAATAAAACAGCATCTTACTCAGGCTGTAAAATATACAGATATTAAGGTGAGAAGAATGTTAACCACAATACAGTTATATTATTGCATATAATATTAATTGATACGATAATATTATTAGATAGCTACTGTTTTTGGTGGTCTAGCAGCAGTGAAACAAGAAAGGATACTGAATCGAGGCCCTGAAATCGTTATTGCCACACCTGGAAGATTGTGGGAATTAATACAACAAGGAAATTCTCACTTAAGCCAAATAGATTCTATTCGGTAATGATTAATTTAAGGAGGAATGTTACATTTACTTATTTGGGGCGCTACTAATAACCTGCTATTTGATTTAAGGTATTTAGCCATTGATGAGACAGACAGAATGATGGAGAAAGGTCATTTTCAAGAACTGCACGATATCTTGCAGAAGATAAATGGGAATCCGACTAAACTGGCGAAGCGACAGACGTTTGTTTTCTCGGCTACGTTGACTATGGTGCACGATTTGCCGGACCACCTCGAGAGAAAGAAGAAACGACACTTCAGAAGTAAAATATACAAACTTACGCCTGGTCAGAAGCTGCAGAAAATTATACATTTGCTAAAGATCAAGAATCCTAAAATTGTCGATCTGACAAGCGAATCAGGTACATTTTAAATGCCGATCTGTTGTTAAACATATAAAGAAATGCTCCTGAATTCTCTACTAATCGAATCTAAATTATCAGGCACGGTTAGTAGTCTGACGGAATGTCGGATTGCGTGCACGATCGATCACAAGGATTATTATCTGTATTACTTCTTGAAGAGGCACAGCGGAAGAACGTTGGTATTTTGCAACAGCATCGGCTGCGTGAAAAGATTAGCCACTCTCTTCGGTATACTCGAGTGCAAACCTTTACCTTTGCATGCCAATATGCAGCAACGACAGCGTTTGAAGAATCTTGAGAGGTTCGTTTTTTGTATCATGTTTCTCGCGCGAAATTTATACGTGCAATAATAATGGCAATTACAGGTTTCAAGCTGATGAAAATGGCCTGCTCATAGCCACGGATGTAGCCGCGAGAGGCTTAGATATACCCAACATCGAACATGTGATACATTATCAAGTTCCCAGGACATCAGAGGTAAATATTTTCAATATTTCAATATACGCGACAGAATCTATATATTAAAATTAATTTGTCGACTGTTTTGCAGAGTTACGTGCATAGGAGTGGTAGAACAGCGAGAGCTCAAAAAGAAGGCATTACTGTGCTGATGATGGAGCCTTCGGAAAAAGAAAACTACAGCAAACTGTGCAAATCTCTTGGACGCAGTACGTTGTTCCTCAATTGTGGTTCAATATTGATCCTTTTAAATAATCACAGTAATGTCAATGGCACATGTGTTTGTTTGCAGCACAAGACTTGCCGACGTTTCCAGTGGTGGACAGACTGCTAATTGCTGTAAAAGAAAGAGTCGACATTGCTCGCAGTATCGATAAGCTGGAATTGAAATGTCGCCGAGAGAACACTCAAAAAAATTGGATGAAGAAGGCAATGCAGGACATGGATATGGTCATCGACGATGCTAACATCGACGACGAGTAAGGATCATCATCGTGGCTTTTCGTAACTTCTTTGTCCGAGCAGATATCTAGCATATTCCTCTTTTATTTTAGCGAATCACCGGAATCGGAAGAAGCTGCAGCATTGAAACGGCAGCTAAAAGCAAAAAGGCGTCAGTTGCAATCTTTATTAACGCAAGTGGTGTTTCCTAGAGGATTTTCTGGAAAGTATCTCGATGATAATGTTAGTACAAACATATATCCTGACACAGAAAAGGCTGTTGAAGTAATGAAAAAGGTTATAAAAGATATTCCCAATGGAAAAAGTAGCAAAGAGTCTCGAAAAAGACAATATTCACAAAAACCAAAAAAATCAAAGAAACTTAAGAAATCATAATGTATATATAATTTTTAATCAATGAATATGAATGCCAATGTTTTCTATTCTTTCTGTCACTGGTTTTTATTGATTAACCTTATAATCAGTCCTGATTGCAACTGTGTGCTTGTGTGATAAAGGCAGTTTTCTAGCAAGAACATTCGTGTGTTAAAAAGCCATTTTATTGGCTAAACATTATTTAATTCACTGTATTCACTGTATTCGCTCCCTACAGATTAATAATGTTTCAAATTTGCAATAAAAATTATGTTTTTATTTATTCATTTCACAGTTTAATATAAAAAAAACTACTAATTGTTCATAATTTTCTTATTTTACTTTTCAAATTATCCCATGACAACTTCTATTGATTCTGTCATGTTTTTCCAAACCTTGTTTCGACCAATAAGGAGGAACACACACATGGTCAGACTCTATGGTTGAATTCCCACTGAGCGCGTCACGCGTCGCGTCGTCTGCCTGCGTCATGAGTTAACCAATCAAATCGTTCCATTGGAACAAGTGCGTCGCGCGTCGCGTCATCCCAAGAGGATTTGATTGGTTAACTCGTGACGCAGGCAGACGACGCGACGCGCGTTACGCGCTCAGTGGGAATTCAGCCTATCTTATAGAGACTCTGGCGCCTAGCTCTAGCCACTAAAATCGGTTAAGCGACAGTTTCCCGAAAAATGGAGAAGATAATGTTGGTATTAGGGAAAATCTCTACACGATACAATTTAAAGATTCTGTTCTTTGTAACTGCACTGCTGAACTAGTGCAATAAATTGAAGCGAAGCAAGTATGTTTTCTCATTCTAACCTTTTGCATTCAGCAGTGCAGTTATAAAAAACATCTTTAAATTATATTATGTAGAGATTTCTCTTGGTACCAACATTATCCTCTCTACTTTTCGAGAAACTGTCGCCTAACCCTAAAATCAAGCTGGTGGCCGTTCTCAGGCTTCTCTTTGGTAGTACTTCTTAATAAAGCGAAAGCGCGTCTGACGCATTATTTAATCATACCACGATCTCGATTCTCATTCAGGAAAGTGGCGGCTCGTAGCGGAGACGTCGGAACTAATTTGAAACGTCCAATCAGAAATAACGGGTCTGACGATCTTCAGACCCGCTAAGTTAAGTGAAGATTGCACGACAATTGCTTATTATAACTGCAGGTGAGAGTCTCTTAAATTTCAATTCTATATATTTGGTGACCCAACTATATAGTTGGTTCTACGTCGACCTTTTTTAGTTTATTTCTTAGTTTTATTTATTTCTTAGTTTATTTCTTAGTTCTTTTTTTAGTTTATTTCACGTAACGGTACGTTAATATTGACACGAAAATTACTTATTTTGTCTCTAAATTAAATTCTTATCGCTCATTTTTTGGTCGCTTATACTTTGTGAGTCTGCATTTTTTCTTTAGCCCATTACGAATTTTCGTTGTTAATAACTTGACAATGTGTAATGCACAAATATTGTTTTCTCTCTGGACTGGTTCCTTATTATACATATTTCTATTGCGCATACTTGATAACGCTGCACTTTTTCGTCGTTTTATCAATCACTTTCGTAATTAATATCTCATGTATCCGTAAAGTCACGTCGACGCCTGTCGCAAGAAAATTCGTTATTTTGCTTCTAGACGCAATCCCGCCTGGATATTTCAATTGCATTCAATATAACTTCATCTGTAAATACTGCAATGCCGATCTGCGACTTGAAAATGTCAACCTGTCGAAGCGTCATAAATACGCTTTGATATTTATATTATTACCTCCTCTCGCAACGTTCACAATGAATATTCAGAAACGACTGCATAAAATCGAAATATCTTAATCTCTCTCGACCGGCGACCGGTAAATGACCACTCAGATAGCAGAGATAATTAAATAAGAATTCGGTCATATGTCATCAATTCTAAGTTCATTTTTGAGTGCAAAAAGAATTCTTTTCACTGAACTGAACTCTGAAGAATTCTTTTTGCATCCAAAAATGAACTCAGAATTTATGACATATGACTGAAATTTTTTAGAATATTTTTTGAATTCTCTGTACTATTTGACGCCTCGCGCTTTACAGCTATGCAAACGAATGTGCGTTAATTGAACGCACGATTAGCGCCACGATGAGGCAAAGTGCGACCAAGGAGCGGAGGGCGGTGTCGTAAATGAATAAATGAGATTAAACGGGCGAAGATTTACGTAAATGTATTTAAGCCAGCCGCGCGCGCGTTCTATGCGCGTTTCTGCGCTGGTGTATGGCTTCGCGGCATTACGTAACGCGCGTCGAGTCCGGAGAGACTGCATCTTACGAAGCGGCCACCATCCTATTATCCGTACACGCGCGTAACTTCGTCGTAGGGATCGCTATGATTACTCGCGCGTAGTAGGGCGTGTTACGCAAAGGGGAAAAGAGAAAAAAAAGACGATGTAACTTGAGGCACACGCGCTGCTTCGGGTGAATCGCGAATGGCGATTCGCGCCCGTGTTAGCAAGCCGAATGCGCGAATAATTGTTGGAACAACGTTCGACGCGCATTCGGAGTCGCGTGGAGGGCGGCGATTCCCCGAGGCGACTTTTGCCGCTTGTCCTATTCACGGGAGACAGGAATCTCGAGCCTGAACTGGGTCAGGGTAGCGCGGCCGAATAGACGGATCAATTTTGTTTTCAATTTATCAAGCCCACGCGCGCGCGCGCGGCTGCGCGACGAACGGCGCGAGCGAATTTCGTGCCGCGCGAGAAATTAATCGCGACGTGTATTATATTGATTGTGCGCACGCTGCGTGCGCTCTGCGACACGAAGGTGCGGGGAGTTTATAGTCGAGTATACAGGCCGTTGCCTACTCGTGAATCGGAGAACGAGTTTGCCCGCGATGATATTAATTCGTATTAATCTCGCTGACGAAATGGATAACGTGCGAGAGAGGGATGTGTATGAGCGCGTTATCCTTCGCGGTTTTAAACGCTCCTTTTCCGGTTTTACTGAACGAATGGGCAGTAATAGCCGGTCTGTGCTGCGGACGAGGATTTTATAAATCAACTCGCGCATTATTTCTTCCATTGATTTAATTTAATCTTTCTTTCTACTATGTTTCTCTAGGAACGATTTAATGAATTAAATGAATACGAATGAGCCGGTAAATAAATTCTTCTTGCGATACACCTTATATCTTTCATAAAAGAAATAAAGTACTGTTATTTTTTCATGGTTTTTTAGGAAGGCGAAAAGATTTTAATTTTCTAATATATTTCTAAATAATATTAATCGAGGAAATTTGTAATAATTATCGATCATAATCATGGAATTGATATATACGCTGAGAAAGAAATTTACTAAATTTCAGAAAACATTTGCTTGGATAGTACTGTGAAGATATTTATTTAAATTAAATAATTATTTTCTAAAATTAAAGGAACAAATTTATATTTAAAACTTCTTTATTTAATTTTAGAATATAATTACTTAATTTAAACAAATATCTTCACAGTATTATCCAAACAAACGTTTTTTGAAATTTAGTAATTTTTTTTCTCAGTGTATATATATATATATATATATATATTTATATAAGCAAATATTGTATTTGCGTTAGTATATGTGCGCATAACACTCTGTATTGTTGTCATAAACAATTAAATATGTGTTATAATTAAATATGTATCAAATATGTAGATTAAATATGTATTTATAATCAAATACATATTTATAAATTTAAGTATATTTTTTGACAAAATCGTATATTCTTTGCACGAATCAATTTTCGCCAATTTTCTTCATACAGAAAATGAAATCGCCGCGTAATGTAAAGGCACTTGACGATGTTAAAACGTAAGTTGTCGCTCCGTCATCAAGGATTCTTGAATCAAGGAGTCTTCTCATTAAGGATTCTCATTCGCTCTCGCATTGATATTTGAAGTCCATAGATAATACATAATAGAGAACCACTGAAGATACATGAGTCAGACGTAGCAAGAGAGCCGGTGTCAGGCCCTGGATGATTCGCATGGATGGCCATGACCATATTACCGTCCAGAAGCCCCTAACGATACAGCCAACGCGGCGGACAGTGTGTGAAATTAGTTCAATGTGTGAGAACAGCAACACAGCGTTGCGCACACACAAGAGCAAATACGATATTTGCGTTTATGTGTTGATTCTGGGATTATCACTGATTATTATCACTGATATTCATATTGATTAATAATTGTACACAGACCTGTGAAAGAACGTGAGGATTATGCACAGTGAACATATACAAAGTTTTCCAAAACTATTGTACAATTCATTGCTAGCATATATCCTGGATTGGAGTCGAATCAAGTTCTGATATACGAGTATATACATATATATATATATATATATATATATATATATATATATATATATATATAT